AATATCTTCATTCGAAAAGTAATGAGGAGGAAAGAAAGTAGAAGCAGCCGATGTACCAATGCAAATGTCTGATAACTTGACATCCAAGCTAGGATCGACCAAACTCTTCAACCAACACAGAAGATAATGATGTTAGACTGACCGAGATGAAACAAGGAACTAGAGATCTTAGTCTATGTGTTCTGTTAATAAGAGAGATATGGATAGGAAATTACCTGGTAAGAGGAGATGATGGTTGGTTGAAGTTTCTTGATGTCAAAGGTAGGTATTACAACGTTTGTGAGTGTCTGGTGAAATTTTGTCTCTCCAAGAAGCTTACTTAGTAGATTTTTTAGATATTTTCCGTCGTATTTTGGACCAGACAGAAGCTTTGGAAGCTTAGGAAAACGAGCAAACAAGCCTCTGCATTTTTCACTAGAATGTCATTTTGAAATAGGCACTTGGTTTGAAAATCCCATTGGAAATATAAACTGACATTTTTTAAAGCCAAACTTTGTGCAACGGAAAACAAAAATCAACTATAACTACATTTCTTTTTCTAATATCTTGTTAAAAATGTGATTTTTCCTTACTCAGGCTGTGGGAATATCATGGGAGAATGTTCGAGGTAAAATGGAACAATGTCTTTTGCCGCGAATTGAGGTCGACCGGTCTCGTCCGGTATGGTTAACATGGTAGTCATGAGACCACCGGGCTAGTTCCGGCTACAACATCGAAGTAATCAGCTATCCTCATGTCTTGTCCATCGAGTTCCTATTTATACCAACAAAAGTAAACCAACACAAGGAATATTAAATTATGTTGACCGGTCGGATTAAATTATGTCACACGGTACGAGTACAAGTTTCGGATAAAAAACATAGCATAGTAATTTACGTTCTACCAAAGTTTATAATAAACCTGAAGTTGTTTCTCGAGATAAGCAAGGATCACTCCAGCGATGATTCCTCGGACTCCGCCGCCATCGAGGCTAAGGATGCTTACGAGATTCCCGCAAGATGGTGGTTTGTTTTTCTTGCACGACGAACCATCCTCCATGATAGTTGATCGATTTTTTTTTTTGAGCTTGAAGATTATGAATCGAAATATGGTGAAAGTTTTGGATGTTAAGATCGATATTTATAAATAAATAAATAAAATCACAATTTCACGTGTTGATAGAGGATTCTAAAAAATAATAATTTTATTTGGTCAGTCTTATCTTCATACCTTTCGTGCTAATCAGGATTGTTAGTGTAGCTTATACATTTTTCTTTGTAATAATATAATTTTATAGTAAGGAACTGTATCAAAGTAAGAAACAATATCTATCAATCTCAATATTTAAATTACGAAATAATTGTAATAGCTCATATTTAAGTTATGAAACTCATGTTTTCTCTTTCGATGACTTCACGATAGAAACAACAACAAATTCTAAATGCATCCAAATGTTCAAAACTTAATTAAAACTGAGTTTGGATATTTTGAATTTTCTACGACACATCTTCTTCCCTCTCCATCCACTATCTAGACTTGTTCTACAGAAATCTGTCAATTCATTGAGAAGATGATCTCAAAATTAGCTTTCTGTTGTTTTTCCTCTCTTTTTAAGCTAGGTTTTCTTCTGTTGTTTCATCAAATTAAATTTCTCTATATATTAATGCAATGATATATGCGATCTTTGTATATATTTCACGCGTAGGATATTATCTTATTTAGTCAGACACAATTCATACATTTCGTGCTAATCACGATACTAGTTCAAATATTTTCTTTGGAATTAGATCATATAGTAATTTGGAGGCAATATCCATGTCGAGCTTGAGTTGTCACAACTCATTAAATAAATAATATTAATAGATGATGTTGAGTGATCACTAGCTGATCATAACTCATATACCACAGATCGTGATCATTATTGAGCATGTTTCAATAGCTCTTCCTCTTATCTCTTTTACTTATGTTGTCCTCAAAATAGCTTAAGTGTATACTTAATTAAACCTTTTTTTATCCTAAACTACTAGTCCAAACTCTATGATTTTCAAAGTCATAGCCTTGCAATCTTTCTTTGCATTTCAATAGAATATCTTTTAACCAATAAAATAAAAAACTTTTGCTGATCTTCTCAACAGTTCTTCAAGGATAATTTAGAGAATAACAATTATTCAGTACAAAGAAATCACGCGTTTTCTGTAACCGTAAATAAGCACACAAATAAAAAATCAACTTGGCGTCATCGCCGATCGAGCAAAACACAAAGATCATCTTCATAGATTTCTATCTTCCCATATTATTGTCTTTAATGATTAGTTTGATGAATCTTTGGTCATTGTATCGCTTTTCTTTCTCCTTAATTTCCTTTCATCCGATAGAATTTTGGCAAACCTGGATTATTAACAAACTAACATCAAACATTTTTGTAATCAGACCATAAGGTCAAACAATCCTATGTAAAGCTCTAATTTTCTGCTAATTAACGAACAACCCCCCCCCCCCCCACAAAAAAAAAACCAATTAATATCATACAGCGAGCTTACTTACCATCCAAGAAACCCATCAACAAAATTTGAAACTTGTTAAATAATTACCTCTTTAGTTCTTGATCATTGGTGACATTTTCAGGAATAGGTTCATATACACCAGTGTCGATATTCATTTTCGCAACTCTGTTTGTCAGCATCTTTTCTCCAATCTTCACAAGATTCTCTAAGTTAGGTTTGGTCGCCAAATCCAAAGAGCTTGCATCTCCTTCCAATGTATCATCCTGAATTCATACACAAAAATCAAATGCAATAAACAGATCAATAACAAATTTAAACATATATTAATTGTTTTATGTATAGCTATTACGTCGATTCTAAGGTACTTGTCTTCAGACTGTAGGGCTGCAAACAAAACAGAGCTGTGGAAATGGATCATATCGCGGCTTGCTTCCATGGTAATGTCTAATATCGGAGTAGATCCATCTTCATATAGCCAAGATATGATTCCCCATTTTGCAGCCTTTTTTGCGCTATACTTCTCTTCCTTTTTCGCAGACCCCATCCCCACCGAGATAACAAGGAACTTGTCGAAGCCTAACGGCTTGAGCTTACCCATATCAGGATTGCTCTTCAAAATCTGCTTAGACACGGCAGTCATAGCCACTAATGTCTATAAACAAAACCAAACAATATGAATCAGACAAGAGAATAATTAGTTATGTTTCCATTTCGTCAAATAATTATATCTTTTGGGAGAATATACATCTAAGCACAAATTAAAAAATAATGGTCTAATCAACAAATTAAGTTCCACTCCAATTAGGAATGAGTTTAAAACAAATCTGTGAGGGCTTGACCACTTGGTCCAAAGCAGATAATATCATCTTATTGTGAGGAGTTGGATATGCTCTTGCGAAGCCCAACAAATTTGTAACA